GGCTTCTTCCTGATGTAAGAGGTGAGTCTCCTCTTTGTTTAGGTTGTTTTGGCATCGACATCATGCTAGCGCGCAACGTTCTGTGACTCTTAAAAAAACAGTAAAAACGGTGAGAAACGCTGGCAGCGAAGGCCGTTAGCGATCAGGAAACGGCTGGCGGTGAATGAGTTAATGTCCTCCTGGGAGCTTCATGATTTGAGTCTTTATAAACCTTGCATTCCTGTTTATCTACAATCAAAGAAGGTGTTTAGGTCGTTTACCCTTAAAATAGAAATCAAGGTGCTCCAAGTTTAAAATGTTATCAGTAACAAACCTAAACTGTTTGTTTTGGGTTTTCTTTTATGTTAAACATCTGTCAGTTTGTGTTTCTCCAGTTAAAATTCATGCTAATGGTAAAACTGACTAGTTTTAAGACATGCATTTAGTTCTTCTCTTTCTTTCCACTTTATTACAGATCAGTTATTCCATATCACTGCCATAAAGATTTGGGTTAACAATTGTCTTAATTCCATGCAGGAAACGATGAGCTGTGTTTGGTCCTTTTTGCCCATGCCTTAACTGGTGTTTGTAATAAACTCACAAAACATAAATAACACCTGATCATTGTGTAGATATTCTCGAGAATAATCGGCACATTCTGTCAAGAATTCATCCTTTAGATTAATTTGTGGTGTTAACTCTGAGACTGATTACATTGCGAAGATATAGATATTAAATCCAACGGTCCAGTTCCGAAAACTGGTGGTGCCCCGATTAATATAAGATTATAAACAAGCTAAATTTACGCCACATTTGAAATATAGATATAAATCTATATTCATCGCTACACCTGTTAATTCAAATTTTGTTGTCTTAAGTGTGGCTTTTCTCCTAAGATGATAATTGGGGTGTACTCATTATTGCAACATGAGCGTAAATGGATTTGTTAGGAAAAATCACTTTTTTGGCGCAAATTAAATCTTGTCTGCAATCAACGGCCCACATTTGTGAGAGTATTTTGTAGTTTGGTGTCTCATAGAAAATGTTGATTCTGAAAGGAAACGGTTTTCTGACCAATGTAGTGGGGTGTACTCATTTATGCTGAACACTATTTTGTTATTTTTTCAGCAGCTCGGGGTAGGATAGGGATGCAGGGCTGGTGTTTGGGGCTGACACATCACTAGTGTGGCTGTAAGAAGAAACTACATTGTAGTAATGCACCATTTACATGCCCAGTAACGGCTACGGCACTACAACAATGGGAAATTATTTAGACTACTCCATTACCTAAAAAAATAATGCCATTGTTAACGAAATTATACTTAAACACCAATAGTCCTGGCATTGGCCAATGGTGTTCAACATCTACTAACGTCAAGATGTCAATCACAGGGCGGAAACGCGTCATTGCAGAAGTACCTAGATTGATGCCGAGTTGGCAACATTTCTTATAGACAAGTCTTTAAATGTATACACATAAATAAACATGTCAGAATAATACTTGTAAACTAAACGTTTTCGCTTTGATGCAAGACTTGCATGTTCACAAACAAGAGGTGCTGCTTTCAGCCGTGCACAAATAATGTGTTCTTGGCCAACAGCAGCCAGAGGAAGCAAAGCCAGAGCTGGCCTACCTGGTGTAATGGACACATGACTGGTTTGCACATTTCATTTAAGGAGTTGTTAAACATGATCTGTTTAAAATGTTCTGTTCTCGATGGGAAATGATTTGGTGATGGAGCGGTTTTCTGGTAACGCATAGGTGGCTGGTGAGAGGATACTGGGGACCTTTGCTGCGGCTGTTACCCCAACAACCTGGACCTGGATGAGCAGACAATATGGATGGATGGTTTCCAAACAAAAACAGTGGTTCTCAAAAGAAAAAGTTCAACAAATTAGGATTAACTTTTTATTTAGCAGACATACACTGGTCTCTAATTTGTTTAATTGAATGAATCTTCACTTTTTACTATTACATGTTTTTAATCACACTTAACATTCAAAGACGCAAGTAAACCTTATTTTCTGTTTGCTGTTATATGGCTTCTTTGTACAGAAACTTGCAACAAAAATATACTCAGGCACATTGGTAGATAAGTGAGTAAAAACGGAACAATAAACAATATGAAGCTTGTCAGATGAGCTCAATAACTAAACGTTTTTGTTTAAGAACGTGAAGTGGAAGCTACATCAGAGAAAACCTCACAGCCCCAGAGCTTCTTTCTTCATGCTGCATCCCAACAGTGCATTTCCAGCTTCCACACACTCGGACACACACGCAGCTGAAAAATAAGAGTAAATTAACATTTGAATTTACTAGTAATAAAATTAAAGAAACTCTGAAAACAGATCAATGTCAATTGGTAAAAACCTTGCTGAAACTTAATACCGATACAGAATGACGAACATGTCAGAGACAATATGAATATGAAAATACGAGATCTTAATTCAACTCCTTTTCAAATGGTTTGGTCAGAGACATTCCTGCTAAAGGTCTGCTGAAGGTCCCTTTGTAGAGACCTGGCAAAACTCATTCTGTTTCTCTCTGCACAAAAGGTGCAGATGCCACTCCTCCTGATTGGTTAAGGACCTTTAGCAGCCCGGTGCAAACTAAGGGTGGGACAAAATACTGAATTGGCAAAAAACTGCAATATTTCAACTCATGAATGTGTCCCAGTATGCTCTTCCCCTGTATCTGTTTTTTAACCACCACCGCAGAAGTTCATTAGGGGGCGCTCCTCATGGAGAAGAACACAAGGGACAATATGGTGGAGTCGCGTGCAGAGAAAGAAAAATGTTAAAAGAAGCACCAGCAAGTTTCAAGTCTAAAGTTTGGGCTCACTTTGGAATAGTACACAGTAAAATCCCAAGTGTTACATGAGCAGTGTCAAAGAATGCAAACTCTATCAGAGTCAATTCGATGAAAGTTAGTGTAAAATACATCACTTTGTCCTGCAGTGTTGGTGTTAATATTCAGAGTTAAAACTCTTTACAGTGTAACCCATTAGGTGTTAAAGAAAATGCACTTTTTTGGAGTTACCATTACTCTAGAGTATTGATGAAAATTTCTCTAATACAGTGTAAAAAGTACTTTGGTAAGCTCCGCCTTCTTTTTCCTCTACTTCAGTTGCAGTGGGCGAGGAGCATTGCGGGTACTCGTGTTTTTAGTTACTTTCTTCTATTTTGGGGTGTTTATGCACGTTTATTTGGGTGGTGTGTGTGTGTGTGGGGGGGGTTGGTTATTACGTCATTCATGGTTGTAATTGCGGTGATACTTATATCATGTTGACACCATAAGTGAGGTTGGTCAAACGAACGAGATTATTGTGCAGTTCCACTCTTTAAATCTAAAGGGGTGGTTTACATTTGATGCTACTGGGCGGTATGCTGAACATTGTTCAGAAGACAGGAAAGATGAATGACGCACATAAAAGGACCAATCAACAAATTGAACAGGCGGGACTAGCCGTGGAGCTTTTCAGAGCTGATCACACCAGCTCCCTCCCTCCCCACAACTGGCATGCAGCGGCCAAATATAAACAAACGCATCTGCCGAACTTTTGCTCCGTAATGTAAACTTTAACTCCTGCAGCAAAAAATGCGGCGTAGAGGAAACTTGTTAAAATACGTCAACACGGTGGATTTAATAGAAGCTTTAAAGAACAAACTGAACAGTGTGAGGTGAGTTTGTCTCAGACGTGTTTTGTCTCTCCAAAGCCTAAACCAAAGTCTTCCAAGTGTAGCGTTAGACAGCAGATAAGCCAGTATAAGGAAGAGCTCTCACAGTCCATCACTTGTGAAACAGGAATGGAGTTTTGGATTGGAAAATGTGACACATTTTATCACAGCCTGAAACCATTAGCATTAGACATATTGGCAATACCAGCTTCTCAATCTTTTGCAGAAAGAGTGTTCAGTATCACAGGTGACCTCACTAGAGGGAAACGCAACCGAGCAAAGGTCACACTAGCACGAAGTGCTTTTCTCAAAATGAATCGCAGCAAATAAATATTCACACCGTTTGGTCGAGCCAGTGTTGTAACAAGTGAATATCTATAGACTCATGGTTAACATTTTTAAATTTGCTATTCTTGTAAATTGTTGTTGTGCAATTGCTAAAAAGAGCACCTTTGTAATTCCCAGTGTGCTTTTTGTTTTTTATTAAACACTTAAGTGTTAAACATGTGAAGTGTTTTTTTTATTCAAATATATTCTATGTTCTTAGCTGTGTGTGCTATACCTGATCAGTAGTGGTTAAAAGTTTGGACCCTGTGTATTAAATTAGACTAGTTTTTCCGTGCTCTATACAAAAGTAGGAAATTACTTCATTAGAAAAATTATATGCATTTTATCGACTAAAATTATTTGTAATTTTCATAGACTAAAATGGGACTAAAACTAAAATAAATCTAATGACTAAAATTGGACTAAGACTAAAATTAATATTTAGCCAAAAGACTAAGACTAAAATAAAATTAAAATTTCCTGTCAAAATTAACACTGCGTCTGACACGGGACCAGGGACATGGTTGCTACAAGAACCCTTGTTTGACAATGACTTATTCTCTCGAGCTGGCATTTTAACTTCATCTGCACTGAAAGTTAAGTTCACCGGTGCTGGGATTGTAAAGTTTGGTCACTTTCTGAACATCTTGGCTAGAACCCTTGGTGAGCGGCTGGATGTGAGGTCCACCGGAGTGATGGAGGAGGTACAGAGGTCCTTGTCTGTGTCGCAGAGAGCCTTCGTTGAGACTTGTACTCTATCTGATCAATGGGATGATGGCAGTGAGTACGTTTTTCCATCGCTGGAGGTTAAAGCAGCTGGTGAGGGTTAGCAGGAAGAGAGTGGATCACTGCTGAACCTGAACACCTTCCAGTCTTGTGGGAAGAAACAGATCTATCACACTTGTGTGAAGGTTATCAATAGGCGCTCTTTGTTAGGAGTCAAGGTGGACTCAGGAGTTTGCTGCGTGCCGTGCCCCTGGGGGCAGCTGGAGGAGTTTGTATAAGTCTCCATTGGAAAAAAGGACGGCTGATCTCCAGTGGAGGATCATACATGGAGCTTTAGCTACGAACAGACACAGAGCCCGCTTTGATCCAAGCACCGGGGAGGGATGTCCTTTCTGTAACCAAATAGAGACCCTAGAGCATCTAGTGGTAGCATGTTCTAGGTTATCAGGGATGTTCAGGGCTTTAGAACGGTGAGTTAATTCACACTAGGGGAGGGAGAGCGAGTGAGTGAGTCGTCTGTCTGTCTGTCTGTCTCACTCACTCACTCTCTCTGTGTGAGTGAGTGAGTGAGTGAGTGAGTGAGTGAGAGAGAGAGAAAGACAGAGAGAGAGAAAGAGAGAGAGACAGAGAGAAAGAGAGAGAGAGAGAGAAAGACAGAGAGAGAGAGAAAGAAAGAGAGAGAGAAAGACAGAGAGAGAGAGAAAGAAAGAGAGAGAGAAAGACAGAGAAAGAGAGAGAAAGAAAGAGAGAGAGAAAGAGAGAGAGAAAAACAGAGAGAGAGAGAGAGAGAAAAGGAGAGAGAGAAAGACAGAGAAAGAGAGAGAGAATGCGGAGAACAAATGTTGCATACATGCGTGCGCACGCGCGTGTGTGTGTGTGTGTGACAACTAATGGTTCTTTAACTTTTAAATAAACTTGACTTGACTGAAAATATATTGCGATATAGATTTGAGTTCACACCAGCTGTGGTGCGGTGCAGATCTGGATTGCTGCAAAGTTTCAGCATGGAGCCCTTTTTCTTTTCTTGGGGACACTGCATGAGGATTGTCATAAAGTTAAAGAATTCACCTGAACCACAAGTGAAACGTGGTTCAGCGTTGGGGAGTTTTAATCAAACGGTTTCCATTTATTTATCTGTTATAGGTTTAACTTATGGAGAACACACACATATGACTAAGGGGGTACTGTATGAGAAAACGGCTGGAGGGACACGAGTAAAAAAAAAAAAAGGAAACACTGGAGTAAGATCGCTTCATGCCACCAGTAATGATCTTGACCCTAATAAAATGCAAAACTACTGAAGGTTTATCAATAAAGCTGAGAAGGGCAAACCCACTCCTGTATTTGGGGATCGACTCATTTCTTCCTCTTTAGTGTTAATACTTTAATCACTAAAAGGCTGACTGTCTTTAACAACCACTTCTGCTGCTTCATTTTTACCATTCTGAGCTTGGATCCATGATGCTGCCTTCCCAGCCAGAAGCTCCCACTCCTCCTTTGCATCAATCTTGAAACCATGAAGCCAGATCAGAGCCAGAATGGTGGCGTACACTTCCTCGTTGACCTGATTCACAGAAACGGATAAAATACTTTATTTAAGCTTTTTCCATGTGTCACTGGTTAAAACATTTCTATGAATACTTCTCAATAGTTTTTTTCTTTAAACGTCGACCCACCGATGCAGGCTTTGACTTCTCCACTTCCTCACTGGTCTTTCCCAGCACATCAGCCAGATCTGCAGCCAGCAGCCAGCATCCAGCAGCCTTCTGGAGAGACACCAGGTGCAGCAGAGGGTCTCTACTGGGCTTTGGGCTCACACCATCACTGGATTCTGAATCATACAAATTTGAAAAACTTTAAAAAGTAGATTTAATTAACCTGTGTTCATTGGTGAAGTAACAAAAATAAATAAATAAATAATTTTAAAAAAGCTAATAATTGATAGTTATATCTTCGAAAATCTACCAATCTCAGTGTGTAATGAAAATGATTCCAGAGGTTCAGTTTTTAAAAGATACCGACCTGAGCAGAGAAAAATATTAATCATGTTTCTTTTTCCTTCTCTACTGATTCCTGCAGCCAGCGCCTCTCTCGGGTAATGAAGGCTGCTCTCTGTTTAGTCTGGTTTATTTATTGCATCCTCAATGGCTGCTACTTCAAACAACTATTCTTCCTGAGGTCTCACCACCACATCATTAACTCTCAATATTTACAATATATGCCTGAGAATAAATGCAGATCGGCCTTGATCACCTATTTTCAGCAGCTATGGCGCCTCGATTTGCTGCTGCATTGGCAGCAGTTTCCTCATCCCCTGCTGCTCTTGCTATATAACTTTATCTCCCGTGTGACGTAATGCAAGTCTGTTCTACTTAACCGTTTCCTTTGACCAAGGAAGGACAGTGTCCTCGTATGTAAGACGCCTGGCCTCACGAGACATCGCCTCACAAGGCCAGGTGCCTTGACATTGAGAAACACCGTACGTCTCTCGGCTGGCCAGGAAACGCCTTAGGATTCCCCCGGAGCAGCTGGCTCAAGTGGCTGGGGAGAGGGAAGTCTGGGCCTCTCTGCTTAAGCTACTAACCCCGCGACCTGACCCCGGATATTTCTATTTAAAACACCAAATAAAATTTTAAATGGGCCTTACGTCAGCCTATTTCAATTTTGCTAATAATAATCGTAAAGTTTTTCAAACTAACCTCCGTAAATATAAAACAAAACATATGCATTATTATTTTCTTTGTTTAAACTTACCAGGTAGACAATCTGCTGCAATCAGGGAACCACCAGCTTAAGAGATATAAAAAAAAAAAAAACAAAGTTTAAGTTTAAAACAATTCATTTCACAGAATAAAAATTCAATGTATAAAACAAGTCATATTCTGGTGAGACTATTTCTTCTAAACCTTGTAGTTCATCTTACAGCCTTCGTCACAAGGACTTTCTCTTTTTTACAGTTCCTAAAGTCAGTAGTTAAGTAAGGAAATAAGCTTCGAATGCAAAAGCTGCCCAAAACGGGAATATTCAGCTATCATATATATGAATATTCAGATATTCGCTCTTAGTTGTTTCCAAACTTTCTGAAAGACGCACCTTAACACCTGTTTCTGTGCAGGTTATTGAGTTCAGGCTGTGTTGACTATCAGTTTAAAGACCATAAATGGTCAATTCACTCTTCTATTTTTTAGGAACCTTGAGGACCTATGTGAGCTGGTTTGAGTGTGATTGTTTACAATTATTATTATTCTTTTGGTGATGACTTATTTTGATTTTCTTTTCAATAATGGTCTATGTTTGCCTTCTAGCGCTAATCTTAGGAAACCCATAAAAACGAGAAGGTGTATCTCTTATCTCAAGAGGTTACTTCTCTTTATATCAATCTCTAAATAAATAAAACAACAAAAGAATAAATAAAATATGCTGTGGTACAGACTGGATAGGGTGGAGTCACATGACCCTATCACATGACTCCACCCTATCCAGTCTGTAAATGAAAGGAAAGACAGTGAGGAAATGGAGGATGATTCAAATGTTGAAGCAGTGGGAGGGGGTAGCGATCGGCTGAATTTGGCAGCAGCAACCAAATCTGAATGATTTTTATGGTAACAGGCTTCTCGGCCGTATCTTCTACTGCCACAACTCTCTGCTGCTGTAGTTATCGTCCATTCTTGTTACTGAGGTAACTGCTCAATGCATTGTGATACAGATTTGAGATCATACTGCCCAGCATCACCCAGTTCAACCTGAAAGCTCATGTCAGATTTAACCAACACTGACATAAGTGACAGATGTAACAATTCTGTGATACAACAAGCATGTGGCATCCTTATTTACTTCTGTAAGGACAATAGAGTCTAACGGTTCATTTAATGTATTTACAATTTTATAAACTTTCTGAGTATTATCGTTGATAAAACGGGGGAGCGTGCCTTCTCTTATGCAGCCCCAAAACTCTGGAACTCTCTGCCCCTCCGTGTGCGTCTGGCTCCCTCTAGCAGTTTCAAGTCGGCCCTGAAAACGCACTTCTTCAGTATTGCCTTCCCTCTGTGACACTCTTCATGAAAATCTAGCACCGGATTAGAGTTTTTAATTCCGTTTTTATGATTCAGTTGCACAGTTTTGGCACCTCGCACCATCTGGTATTTTATTTTGTTTTATTTGTGCCATTTCAAATGTTTTTATCATTCGTCAAATTATTTTATTTTTTATAGTGCTGTTAACTGTTATCCTATTTTATTGTTTTTAGTAGGAATTTTTATCTCCGACTATTTATACTTTATGTATTTTGCCAGTTCTTATTGTGTTTCTTGATCAAGCATTTGGCTTTTTTATGTACAGCACTTTGGTTAGCTGCCATGCCATTTTGAAATGGTGCTTTTTAAATAAACATGGTATGGTATGGTAAATGTTTTAATATTTCGAGTAACAGCTGATGTATTTTGTCTTTGTCTTTATTTTGAACATGCATACACATAGTCATACACACAACATAAGTAACTTCTCCTTCTCTTTTTTTTTTTTTTTTTTTTTTACACGTTCAAAAGGTTGTAGGAAGAAGCATCAGCTTATTTAATCCCACCCCATTCTCGACATCAAATAAATAATAATTATTTAATGTTGTCCGGTAGTTTTTGGCAAATTACTTTGCAACATTTTCACATAAATGGCACATGGTTTATCACGATCATGTCATAAATACAAACATTGTGTGTTTAGGCACACAATTTTGGACCTTCTTCTTCCTTGTATTTGGTAAACATAACGAGTTTAAGCCTTTTTTTAAACAGCATCATGTTTGGACATTGCCTCAATTCATCACTCATTCTGACACACACACACACACACACACACACGCGCGCAAGCACGCACGCACACACAAAAACACACACACACACACCACAGTTCGACATCTAGCATGTTTGAATTTTAACTCCCCTCTTATTGTTTATGTAACCGGATTACAGGATACAATAAGATAATTAAAAGAAAAAATAAACAAATGGGCCAATAATTAGGTTCGGGGAGAATTGGAGGTCGTTTAAGAATGACTGGAGTCACGGGTATAGTATGAAACTGTTTGTATACCAAAATTTTAATAACAATAGGAAATATAACATAAAGATGACAAATAAAAACAGAAGAAATAAATCGACAATAGTATAATGGTCGGTATGAGATTTGATGATATTAGTCAAGTCAGCCGATGTCAAGTCAAATCCCCACGATTGGGGTGAAAGTCAGAGTCCAGTGGTGCGATTTTTTGCTACCGCACTGTTGAGATTGTTCACAGAGGAGAGCAGTCTGCTCTTCAGTTACTTGAGATGTCCTGGTTCGTTCAGTGGTTAAGGCTCGCCATCTCCCTCGTCAGGAAGAAATCCAGTTCTCGTTCCAAGTGAGTGATCATAGAAGTCGGGATAAAACCCAAGGGGGAAAAAAAAAAACAGCCAACGCGCTCCAAGGGTTCCCTCCTACAGAGTATTGGTTCACTCTGTCGTCTCCACACAAATCGCGTCGGTTCCAAGTTCCCAGTTCTTATTAGAAGGGGTCGAGTCTGCCTCTCCCTCTATCTACGTGGCCCCCAAATCAGGGTTCTTCACGGCCTCGACCGTTTTTTTTTCTCTCTCTCTGCTCACTAAATGCTCAGTCTTTGCTTTCTGTAACTGCGTTGCTGCACAGCCATTTGTTTCTCCTTTCGCTCCGCTGCATCGAACGGTTTTATTTTGCGGAGGCGGGACTTATTTCTCTCAGCCAATGAAATTTCAGATTCCCACCTGGACCAATAGTACACAGCTTTCCTTTTCTGATTTTTGTTAGTAATGTTCAAGATTCTTGCTTTAACCGATGTTTAATATAAAATTTGTTATTTTAGTTATTCACCCTTCCAATAATTCATCATGAAATTATTATCTATTAGTTATTTAGATATCTATTAATTAGTATTTATAATTTCCTTAATTTATATTTTATCTAAATTGAGAATGGATCATATTAGTAAGTTAGGTAATACCTCATTAAGGTTCTAGCTTCTGGGTTACATCCTCCCCCATTAAATATCATGCACGTCCCTGTGCATTGTTTCTACGGGGTACACAACTTCTTGAGTAAGAGAGTCAATAAAAGCTTTGTTAAGTCCTTGGAAAAGGGACTTAACTACGGTCACTATTGGATTGCCCAATTGAGAATAAGTTAGTCTTTGAGGAGGCTGACGACTTCGTTCAGATCTCCTGACATACATCTCTGGTTGCACAGTATCATGCTCATCCGTTTCGGGTTGATTCTCAACTGAGACAGGACGAAGTGAGCTCTCCGTTTCCGATGGAGCTGATGAGCTATTCTCTGAGACTTTGGTCTTTTCAGATGTATGTGTCTGATCGTGTATGATTGGTTCAAAACTTACATCACATTGCTGCGAGTTTAAGACACCATCCAATTGAGGTAGGTTTGTGTTAGTTTCACCCCCCATTTCTACGTCAGGTAAGTATGCTTTGGTTTCTTTCGTTTTTTCAGGTAAGTATGTTGCTGCTTCTTTCACTCTTTCAGGTAAGAATGTCGCAGTTTCACTCATTCTGTCAAGTAAGAATGTTTTGATGTTAATGGCTTTGTCAAGTAAGGACAATTCAGCATTTTCATTACCAGCTAAGGTTGGTTCCTTGCAATCCCCTGTGTGTAAGGATAGTGTCTCTGATAATGTGTTTTGTTGTTGAATATTATTTACTGGTCCTGAATCTGGTATGAGTTCCCTATTTGGTAAGGTGACCACTATTTGATAGGATGGTCGGTTTAGCACTTGTGGAAGATCAGAGTAATGAAACTCATCTACCTCTTCGTCAAGTGGCTCATCTGGGTCAGGTTCTAAGGCTGAACTCTGTCTTGTATGAGGTCTGCTAGGTTTTGTAACGCGTTCTGTTTCATTTTCTAATGGAGAGAGAAAACCACAAGGCAGTAAAAGATCTCTGTGGAGTGTTCTGTTGGGTCCTTCTCTGTTCTCTGGTTTTACATTGTATACTGGCAAGTTTTCCATCAGTTTGAGAACTATATACACTGTTTGCTCCCATTTGTCTGCTAATTTATGCTTTTCTCTTAAGCGAAGATTTTGGACTAAAACACAATCTCCCACACCTAGTGTGGACTCAAGGATGTTTCTGTCGAACCATTCTTTGTTCCTCCTCGCTGTTTTTTGAGAGTTTTTTATGACAATGTCATAACTCTGTTCCAGGTGACACTTCAGTTCTTTAACATACTGAGAATGAGTTATAGAGGGCTTGTTCAAATGCGGTAACCCAAAGGCAATATCAATAAGCAACCGAGGCTGCCTACCGCACATTAGCTCATAGGGAGAGTATACCGTCACGTCATTTTTCGTACAATTGTACGAGTGAGTAAGTGGTTTTACGAAATTGTGCCAGTGATGTTTCTCAGTGGCTTGTAAAGTTCCCAACATGCTGAGTAATGTACGATTGTACCGTTCAACGGGGTTGCCACAAGGATGATAAGGGCTTGTTCTGACTTTACGGATACCAAGTAAAGAACAAAGTTCTTTGATTGTGCGCGATTCGAAATCCCATCCCTGATCACTATGAAGGCGCTCAGGAAACCCGTAGTGGAATAAAAAATGTTCCCACAGGTTCTTCGGGACGGAGGTGGCTTTCTGATCTTTGGTTGGGATAGACACTGCATACTTTGTAAAATGGTCTGTAATCACTAAGACATCTTTAGTGTTCTTACTGTCTGGTTCTATGGAGAGAAAATCCATGCAAACTAACTCCATAGGTCTGGTGGTGGTAATACTC